AGTTCCAGGTGGGAGATATGGTTCTTCTGAAAGTCTCACCTTGGAAAGGTGTCATCAGGTTCCGGAAGAGGGGCAAGCTGGGCCCCAGATTTATTGGTCCTTTCAGGGTTATGGCCCGGGTGGGTCGGGTTGCTTATCGGTTAGATCTTCCTGAGGAGCTTAGTCAGATCCACAACACTTTCCACGTGTCGCAGTTGAGAAAGTGTTTGGTGGATGAGTCAGCAGTCGTTCCCCTAGAGGATATTCAGGTTGATAGCAGCCTGAATTATATTGAGAGGCCGGTCGCGATTCTGGATCGGAAGATCAAGACCTTGAGGAACAAGGTCATTCAGCTAGTGAAGGTGCAGTGGCAGCACCGGAAGGGATCTGAATGGACGTGGGAGGCTGAGGAAGAGATGAGAACGCACTACCCGGAGTTATTCGCAGATCCAGCCGTAGCAGACTTCGAGGACGAAGTCTGAGACAAGTGGGGGAGAATTGTAACGACCCGTTCCCGGTATGTTAATTAATTGTTAATTGTCTAAGTTTTCAAGAGGGACTCGGCGAGTTCTAGCCTGACTCGCCGAGTTGGGTCGCGTATTTTGTGCACGCGGGAGCCGGGGACTCGGCGAGTCCATATCCCGGACTCGGCGAGTCCGTCCGTCTGGGTGAAACCCTAAATCCCCGGGTTTGCCCACTATTTAAACCACATTATAGCCTCATTCTCGCCACTTTCACCCTGAGAACACAGTGAGAGAACCCTAATCCTCCCTTGAGAGCTTATAAGTGATTTGGTGCCATTTTTGTGAAGGTGTGAAGAAGGAGAAGAAGAAAGAAGCAAGGAAACGAGTTGTAGTGCAAAGATCCAAGGGCAAATCTGAGTTTATTGAGGTATTTTCGGAGTTCCCTTCTTGTTATATGCTTTAAACTTCCATTAGAGCTCTTCTAAGAGCTATTTGATGTTTGTTCCAAGCCTTATGTTTGCATGAATGTCTTAATAAGTCGAAATACCTTTGGATCTGAATGTTGGGGTGTTGTAGAGCCCAGATCTACTGTCTTTTTGGAGTTACATTGCATATTAGCCATGGATCTACTCATTTTGTGCATCTTTTAGCCCTATTTCCCTTATTCATGAGGTTGTGCACGTAAAGTTGGAAACTTTACGTGGTAAAACAGCTTATTGGACCCAGATCTATCATTTGCATGTGTTGGATTCAAGAGAAATCGAGTAAAAACTAGCTGCATGGCACTCGGCGAGTCGGGATGAGCGACTCGGCGAGTCGGGTCGCGAGTCCCCGATCCTTCGTTTTTAGCAGTGTCGAGTGCACCCAGTGAGTTAGAGAGTGGACTCAGCGAGTTGAGGGTAGACTCAGTGATGGAGGGACTCGACGAGTTGTTCATACAACTCGGCGAGTCCAAGGCAATCTCCTTAGGATCAAGAACAACTCGTCGAGTCTGTTCATACGACTCGGCGAGTCGGATGAAGATTGTCTGAGTTTTGGATCAAGAGGGTACTCGTCGAGTCGATGCACACTCGACGAGTCGCAGTGAGTATGAGTTGGAAGTGAGAGTGAGACTCGGCGAGTTGGGCGGCCCAACTCGGCGAGTCAGCCCCAAAAGTAAGTTGACTTTGACCAAGGGTAAAAGAGTCATTTTACCCCAAGTGCAGTGTTTAGTATTTGATTGAGTGTGTTCATGGACTTGTAGCCGAGGAGATTCAGGAGCAGCAGCCGTTAGCTTTCAGAGACACACACTCAACCGCCAGTTTACGAGGTGAGTTTCCTTCCAGTAGGGACGGGTCTAAGGCCACAATGCCGGCCCGTCCAGTTAGCAGTAGTTTCCGGACTTGATCCGATGCAGTAGTTAGTATGTTTGATGCCTTCGTGGCTCAGACAGGATTTGTGAGCTATGTTTTATGTGTTATGTATTATGTGTTCCGGGCTACGGCCCGATGTAGTATGCAGTATATGTTTCATGCTAGTTGTTATGATATGCTAGCTATGCTCAGTTCCGGACTTCGGTCCGATGCAGTCAGTTCCGGACTTCGGTCCGATGCAGTCAGTTCCGGACTTCGGTCGATGCAGTCAGTTCCGGACTTCGGTCGATGCGTTAGTTCCGGACTTGGTCCGATGCAGTTAGTTCCGGACCTTGGTCCGATGCAGGGGACAAGGTCCCAGTCAGTTCCGGACTTCGTCCGATGCAGTTTCCGGGCTTCGTCCCGATGCAGTGGGCAAGGCCCGATATGTGTTTATATGATATTGTATTGTATGGTATGTGGTACTTTGGGGGAGCTCACTAAGCTTCGTGCTTACAGTTTCAGTTTTGGTTTCAGGTACTTCCGCAACCAAAGGGAAGAGCTCGGGATGACGGCATCGCACACACCACCGCCTCAGCTTTAGCCTGGGATTGATTTAGTTGTTTGATTTGATGTAGCATGATACAGTTTTCCGCACAGTATTTTATTATGTTTTGGAATACATCACGCATGGTTTTATTATATGATACTCTGATTACAGTTTTGATTATATTAAAAACAAAATTTTGGGTCGTATTTTTGG